AAAAAAAAGCAAGAGAGATTTTTTTAGCAAAAATATATTTTTAAGAAAATGATGTGTGCATACCTCGGATTCAACATCCGGATATGCACTCTTTATGAAAAAAAAAAAACCCATCACCACCCGGTTCAATTTTTTTTTTATGTGGGGGTACACACCCGGGTGTTGGATCCGGGTGTGCACCAATCAAGGTCTATATTTTTAATTTCTTACCTTACTAAGTTTAAAAGTTTTAATTCTTCACTTTATATTATAATATTTTTAATCTCTCACCTTACTAGATTTATAGGTTTTAACCTCTCACCTATTAAAATTGAAGAAAATAACCCTTACTTTATATTAACTGTTAACTCTGTTAGTTAAAAGTAGATTTTTACCAACTAACAGTCAATTAGTAGTCAATTAACAAAATTAACGAAATATTATAAAATCAATTATGTTAATTTTGTTAGTTGAAATAAGATTTTTGTAAGCGAATAGTCAACTAATAATTAGTTAATAGAGTTAACAGTCAGCTAATAGAACTAATAAACTGTTACAAAGTAAAAGCTATTTTCTTCAATTTTAACATGTGAGGGATTAAAAGTATCATAGTATAAGATAATGGGTTAAAACCTACAAATCTAATAAGGTGAGAGGTTAAACATATTATAATATATGATAAGGGGTTAAAATCTTTAAACTTGATAAGGTGAATGATTAAAAATAGGTTTTTGTCAAATTTTTTTAGTAAACACCAGATTTTGCAGTGTGTGAAGTCAAGTAGTTGGATGAAGAAGGAGAAAATGAAAGGAAGTGGCACTGTGGAAGTGAATTGAAAGGTTTAAAAAAATTTAATGGTGTTGATTGTTTTGATTACATCAAACTATTTAAGTTAAATATGTCATAAAAGCTTATGTTTAATTTTCGAGTAACTCCCAGAGAATGTTGATGTTTAATTAATATTATCATCCTTATTCACAAAAAAATTAAAAAAAAGATTTAAATTAAAATTATTTTTTATATAAAATAAATATGTCATAAAAGCTGGACCCAACTATAAAGTTTAAATTTAAAAAAGAACTACTACAAAAATCCAACAATAAAGGAATCAACCGACAAATTCAAATGATTCATTTCAAATTGTAAAGTGATTAAATTAATTGATTAAAATTTCGAAACTCATCGATTCAAGAAAAATCGGTTTAAAGCCAATTGTCGTCCCTCTACTTTAATATTTTATTCGTTCTTGTCCCTCTACTAAGGACATGTTCGTTGTCGTCCCTCTACTCTACCAAAGAGCCAAAACGTCGTCCCTCTACTTTGTTTTTCTTGTTCGTTGCCGTCCCTCCCCTAACACCGTTAATGTTGCCATCACTGTCTTAAACGGTCAGTAGTTAAACCCATTTATTCTTTTTTTTTTT